TAGCGGCATTTCAAGATTTTTCTGAGGAGAAACACGTGTCGCGTCATTTGAAGAGGATGCTGTACAATGATTTAATGGTTCACTATTAAATAATTCGAGGTGACCGATCTAAAAATGTAGAGGAAAATAATGTTCCATTGTAACCGACTCATGACCGGGAATAATATCATTTTTTTCTTTTCAAAACAAAAAAAAAAAAAAATAATCGACTTCAGGGAAAACCGTTATCGTCGTATCAATCCTTTGAATATATATATATATATATATAAAAATGTTAAAAAATTTTTATTTTTTTTTTCTTTTGCGTCCTTGCATATGATCATTGAAAATGACCATTTGCACTAAATTAAGAAACTTTCCCACTCTTTTTTTTTTTTTTTTGACATCTATCAAATATATGATCACGTAAAAGTGAAAAGTCAATGAAACCTTAAATTGTTCAAAATCCTTTTTTTTTCCCTAGTTAACTTTTTTTGATATCATTGTAATAAACAAAAAAAGCACGAGCCAGTCTAAATTATTTTTGCTTATCAAGGAAGTACTGATGATCAGAGAAAATCAACAAATTAATCAAATTAAGCAAATTAAAGTCGATGATATCATGACAATTGAGGATAATAAATGCTATACGCAATCAGCCTCAAAAAAAAGGTACTGATAGAAAAATATATATATTTTTTTTTAATTCATTGCACATGATTTTTTCATAAAAGAATGAATTATGTCAACGTATAAACCAAATATTTACAAGAGTTTGTTTGATCGGTGTTAAGAATGAGGAAGCCGAAAAAAAAAAAAAACGCCGATTTACGTAATTTCATCCGAAAATTTCTTTCGACCTCATGTTAAATTGATAGATCAACAGGGTCATTAATCAAACAAATCATTGATTATTTGGGAATCATGAGAGAGGTGAAGAAAAAAAAAAAAATTTTTAATAATAATCATAAAAAAAAAGAAAGCCACACCACATAATTGATTACAATACCTTTTACATGATTCTTTTTAGTGGTTGAATGCGATCCCCTGCAAGCGACATGTGAAGATTCTTCGAATGTCGGTTCGGATGATGCCAAATGCGGTGGATAAATTGTTATGGATTACAGGTTTATATTGTTAATGGGTTTTTTTTTTTTTAATATCCTCCTTTGGGAAATCAATTATTATACGACTATCTAACACATGCGTGAGAAATATAGCAATTGTATAACGACAAATGATTAATCACACGTTTATCAAAATCCACACATGCCGATTAAAGAAATCACCAAATTTTTGTTTTACAAATAAAATCATTTTAAGGTTGTCCGTTGCGAACCAATCAAACGAATGAAATGGACTTCTAATAATGTGGTGTTAAATAAATGATTTTGATATTCCTAACATTGGACGAAAAGGGAAATATAAGGTGTTACAAGAAAAAACTTGTCTGGAGGCTTGCGTAAAAAATTCAAGGAGTTTTTTTTTTTATTAGCTAAGCCTACATTTAATAATAAAAAAAAATTTTTTTTTTTTTTGAAATCTTCATCCCCGTTTCTATCTTCCAGAATCTCTAACCAATCAATTCTTTAATTCTTTTTTTGTTTATTAAAAAAAAAAAAAAAGCGCGCGGGCGGGATAATCTCTTCTATTTACGCCAGTGTAATTAATCAATGGTGTGTAAGAATTTCTCATTTTTTTTTTTTCTTGCATTATCAGTATGCAATAACATCTTCAAAACGTGACAGCCAAATAGTTAATCCGATCATCCATGACGAAAAAAGAAAAACCATTTCAAGGAGGTATTCTGTGGTGAATAAGGCATTCGTCATTTGGAAGGCATATTACTGATAATGATCGTTAAAAGAATCACCCACGTTTTTCCTTTGAAATATTTTACACGTGGTGTAAAATTATTAGTAAACAATCATGTAAGGAAAACCCTTGTGTGCCTAAATTTTTTCATCTTTTAACGGCAGTGTGACCAAAGGGATAACGTACTGTCAAATTAAATTCATGATGGATTCACGATGCATAAACATTTTAATTGAACAAAAAATAAAAATAAAAAATAGTCTCTACAATTAGTTTTAATTTAAATACATGGTTTTAAACTATAAGAAAAAGGATGTATCACAATCAAAAAAATAATCACATGAAAATAAATAATTCAAGCCTCATAAAAAAAAGGGACGTCAATGAACAGGGTATGATCCCCCTATTTGATCCACTTATTTATGATCTACTTACTTCTAGCTCATCATCTACACCTAACGCCGCACCTTCCTCTCACCACCAACAACATTCAAGTCGAAGAAAGAAGCATTCAAACAAAATCAATAGAAAGAAAGTTGATGATGCCATAACTTGGTCAGCTTTTGCCGTTGAAGAAGACAATCAAGGAAATCATGATGTCGCAATGGAATTTTATTTGAAAGCGATCGAAGATATGTTAGAAGCTGTACCTAGTAAGCACGATGTGATTTTTTTCTTTCTTTTTTTTGTATTATGATACCTTCTTATTCACACGATCTTATTTTTCTCCTTTTCGTAGTTCATGCCAATCAATCTCGAAAGGACGCGTTAAAAAATAAATTAAGAGATTTTATGGATAGGTCGGGGCTCACTGATGACTTCATGGAGTCGACCAATGCTTTTTCGGCCGCAAAAACGGCCGAATGTGAAGAATCTCAATCACGTAGTGGGGCAAACATTTCGCAACATTTCATTCAAGCCGCAATCACATCGGCCGTCGCATTAAAACAATCACCAATTCCCGATGCCATAACAGCCACAATGAATTACACCATGAAGAAGATCCAGAAAATTGACGAAACTTATGGACTTCAAGATAAAGCGTGGGAAATATCGAGGTCCGGAATGAACTTGGCGTTGGGTGTAGATGATGAGCTAGAAGATTGCGCGGCGACAGAGTTGGCGTTTCCCACGTTATTGTTTGCAACCACCAATTTTTGTGGAGCGGAGGCAACAATGGAAGATGAAACGGAATTTTGTTGTTTAGGAACTCGTCGTTGGGTACGTTTGTTGTGAGTGGGTTGCTGTGGTGCGGTTGGTGCCGAAGCAACGATTGAGGTAGGTTCAATAGAAGAGACTTTTGCTTCTTGTTGAGAAGGTTGCTGAAAATATCCGCCAAACGAAAGGTTCACCAAAGAAGAAGGAAGAAATTGTGTTGGAAGCGCTGATGGTATGTTGCTGAATAATGTTTTGACATTTTGTTGACTCGGTCCGTGATAAAAGGCTGCTGTTGGTGTATCAAACATGGTTTTTTTTTTTTTTATGATTTAAAGTTGATAAGTTTGATTGATTTGCTGCAAAGGAAATCTCTTTTTTTTTTTTTGATTGTTATTATTATTATATTCGAGAGAAAAAAATCTAGTTATCTTTTTTTTTTGTATATATATTATTAAATATATAATTTTTTTTTTTTTTTGAGAAAAAGTCCCGAGATGAAGAGAAAAGAAATAAATTATTTTTTTTTTTTTTTGAGGTAAAAAAATGGGTGGTTTGTTGTGCCTATTTGTATAAAAAAAAAATTCTCGGCAATCAATTGAATAGAGTATGCAACATAAAAAATTTTTTTTTTTTTTTACAATTGATAAATTAATATATATATAAATAAATAAAATAATACATAATAAAAAAATATGTTACATCTCCGCGTGGAAAATAAAAATACTTTGCTAAAATTGGACAAGTTGAATTATCCTTTCGATTTTGGTATCCAGGGTTTCGTTTGCTTTTTTGGCTGATGAGAACAATTTAGTTTGGTGCCTTAAGGAGCATTTCGGAAGGTATCCCACTTTAAATCCACATGAAAAAGAAAAAACGAGATAAGCTTACTACAATAACCGGTGAGAATAATTATCGAAAATATAGCTTAGTGGATTCTTTGGGGGACAATGTTCGTTCTTTCACTTACTAACAATTCACTTACTAACAATGTGACGGAAGCTACCGAACTATTCATTTAAAATTAGGTCAACGATACTTTTATCTAGGCAAGAGAGAACTAAATGTGGATTCGTTGGGGAGGTCGACATAACTCCGGCCTCTGACTCCTTATGATGATGGTATGATATCAATGACGAGTTTGATTTCATTTGATTTCATAATTTTTTTTTTGTTAAACGGATTACAAATTTAATATAAGATTTGCTGCGGAACGAATTTTCGGTGGTAACTCGATAACATGAGATTTTCACGTTAGACCGATAAATTTCAATATGTCACCTCCCCTATCACCTGTCACATCCGTCACGACATTCCATTTTTGGTCTTATTGGTTT